TGCATCCTCCCAGTTAGGTTGCCCTCTGAGATTCGAGATTCGAAAACTTCCCCCAGACCCACCAGTGAGAGGGTTTCCTGGTGTTTGGAAACTTTCTCTATTACGGGACTCCGTCCCTAGCTCTTTTGTCTCTCTTTTTATCTTTTATGTTGTGTCCTACCTCCTTTCGAAGACAATGGGCTGCTCTTCTGGGCGCCTGATGTCCTCTGCTAGCGATCAGAAGTTGTTTTGTGCAGTTTGCTCAGCGTTCAAATGTTCTTTCGATGAATTTGTAGGGGAGAAAGGGGTCTCCCCGTCCTATTCCTCCACCATCTTAGCTCCTCCTCCAAAACGCATCCTCTATCATTCATACATAACATAAAATACTTGTCCTGTTTTTGCTTTTTCCTTTGTTTTTGTCTTTGTTGACGAAATCCTGGTTGAATATTCTGAGTACCCCATTCTGACCTGTATGGGAATCAGATACAGAGCAGACATCTTTCACAATGACTCAATGGACATGGGTTTGAGCACACTCTGGGAGAAGGTGATGGACAGGGGAGGCTGGTATGCTGCAGTCCATGGGGTCACAAAGAGTCCTGACTTAGGACATGACTTAGCGACTGAACAACAACAAAATCTTCCACAAGTTTCTTCATGTCATGTTTAAAAGATTCAAGGACCCAACCCACTTAATAGTAAAACTCAACTTGTTTTCCACTTTGGTCTAGATTTGTATGTTAACAAAGATGTTAATTCTGAAAGGGTACTGATTCCGGATGTGAGGAGGTACTGGTTTCCTTTGGGGTCAGGGGAGGGCTGAAGGGACACCCCTGTCCACTCTGTTCCCTCTCCACGTGTAGGCTTCCTCACTCTCCCCCCTTTCTTCATGATTTTTTGCCTGGCCCTTTTCATTCAGCCAGAAGATACTTCTCTGGCACTAACTGTAATGGTTAGAGCAACTACAGGGGCTGGTTGTGAAAAGGAAAGTGGACCGATGTCTAGGGAGCTGATATGCAAGTTAGATGTTGTGTGTTGGTGACTTTGCTTGTTTAGCCAAGTAAGTTATCACATGTCTAAAATAATCTGGGACATTTCTTTTTAGGTTACCTATTCAGAAGCCCAATTAAGGGTGTTTTTTTTTTTCTTCCAATTTCTCCTTTTTTATGTAACTTCCTTTTTTTGGTTTATATTTGCCCATGAAGTAAACAAAAAATAAGCTCACCAAATCTAAAATGGATTATGTTCAGTGTAAGATTTTAAAGTTATTAGAGTTCAACGTTGCCAGTATGGTAACTTTGTCCTTTTGCCCAAATAAATAATTTTTTAATGAATTTTGAACTTCTGATGTAGAGTGGTAAAAGGAAATAGAAAATAATATAAGAAGTTGAAAGCTTAAACAGCATGTAGATTAATATATAATAAAGAAATTAGGTTATTGAAAGTTGAAAGTTTATATTACTATACAACAAAGTTTTAAGTGAAATACTTAGCAAGAATTAGGTGGTATGATATGATTTTGATTAACTTTTCTACAGTGTTAAAGAAAAGTTTGAAAAAGTATCTGAGCAGCAGGTTGGCAGTGTATTCTTTGCAGTTTTGAAGTAATAACATTATCTTGACTACTCTCTTTTAAAATAGCTATTTTTTTTAGCTCAGTGAAGTATTGTATAAATGATATAGCTATTTAAAAGTTGTAAAGAATTATAATCCTCATTTTAACCATCAGGACCTGATTTTACTTTAGTTTCTTTTTTGAACAGTTCTAACTATCTGTAAGAACTGCCAGTTTTTAAACTTTATTCTTTCTTAAGGATCTTCTACATAACAAAGATGGAATTGACTTATTTTAAAAAACAGAGTAAAACTCATTTCTCTCATAATTACCATATGATTCCTTTGGACCATTATATAAATCTAAGAAAAATTAAGGGTTTTAGTAATCTTATCACTATGATATATTAGTAATCTTTTCTGTATTTTGTAACATTTTGCTATTTCATCATCTTGGGAATTGATTCATCATTACTCATCAGTTATCCCCAACAATGTTAAAACAAGACCAGAATAATAAAGAGTAATGGAATTGCCTAGTAGGATGCTATCACAGTGACTACTGTATCGTCCTTTAGTTTGCTTATTATGTTGCCCAAAGAATTGCACTATCTTTGAAGAAGGTATGAAAGATGCTGCAGAGAGCATTTTTTTAGTCTACTTTTAGCTTTCACTGAACATAGTTGAAAAATCAAAAATTTTCACCAAAATGGCCAAGAGAAAAGAGTGACAGAGGAACACATCTCACAAATACTAGATGAATGAGAAGATGAATGCAGAGAGAGAGGCAGCATTGTAGACTCTTAGCGATGATGGTGATCTTGGTTCAATAAGTCACAGAGTGAGTCTCCAAAGGGTGTAGCCTTGAATTTTCTCAGATTCAAGAACAATGTATTTCTAAAGACCAAAAGGAAATGTGTCTTTGGCATCCAGTTAGTCTTTCCAGAGGAAGAATTTCCTCACTCAGAACGTTGTAATAAGAATCTGGACCACTGTGTTCTGAATGACCGAGTGACAGTGCTCTTTCATCTTTTGTGATGTTTGTGGATCCGCATTTATCCAGTATGGTTTATAAAAGGACAAATGCTGAAGGCAAAATTGTATATGAAAGTGATTAAAAGGAAGTTGATGGTGTCAAAATGAAGCGATTCATTGGATTGACCATTCTAATTGGTGCTTGTAAATCTAAAATTGAAAAGGTTTTACAGTTACAGATAGAAAAAGATCTTCCCCTCTCCACAGAATTACGGACTGTCAGACGTTTTAGGTATTCTTCCAGTATTGCATTCTGACAATGCAAAGGCAGTAATAAGTGAGAACCTGTTGTCAGAAGAGAATAAAGGTGTTTATGGTTGCCACTCAGAATAGTTATGTGTCCAGACTTGAAAATAATGGATTAGTTTTCCTTACAATTTAGAAGTTGAAATCAGACTGCACTGTTATCATGGACTGCTACTCTCTGTAGTAGTTTTATTGTAAGAGAACTTGAAACAAGCACAGAACCTTCCTTTAAATTACTGTTCAGCTTGAAGGTAATGAATGTACTTGATAAACTGAACTACTACTCAGCTCCACTAGACTATCATGGGAATCCTTTCTCTGTTCCCTTAGCGCTGCCTCAGTCCCCCGGACGTGCTTGGGCCACATTGTTCTTCTACAGCTGCTCAAAAAGCACGGCCTTGCTTCTCCTGTGGTTGGGGGGCATTGTGTCAGCATCTTTCAATGCCTCAGCCATTTTATTTATATTAACTGTTATTTGTGTAAACTGTTATTTGTATTAACTGTTATTATTAAGTCCGCTTACATAATATCACTAGTCCATTTGAAAATGAGGAAAAGTTTTTTCTCCTGTTTAAAAAAAAAATCCAAACAAAACTTTCTCTCCCTTCATGAAATAAAACTAACCAAATAAGCAAGCAAATTGTCATTTTTATTTTGTGACTCTAATTAACAAATTCTCTATGGAAGTAATTGCTGAATGCTCACCAGCAGCCTCTTAAAGATGGATTTGCGTGGTAGTCGATAGAATTTAAATTGTTGCCTCCTTAAGTTCTGTGACACCAAGATCCACTTATAAGCTTGAGGGTGTTGCTGATATTGGTGTCACCATCCTCTTTTTCAGTTTCATGTTCTGTTAATGTATTCTGTTGTCCACATATACTCAGTTACAAATGTTAGACCCTTGTCTAGAGTTGTTTCAGTTTAACCCGTGTTTTGATAATTTATAAGCGTAGTGAGTGACTTTATACATAACTGTTTGAGAGGTGCTAAAAGGCTGTCTTTCACAAAATGCTTTTACTTCATCCAGGAATCATGTTTTTTACCTCCCTCTCAAACGCTTTGGGATGTAGTGGCATCCAAAGCAGACCCTTAGTGAAATGTGCATCTGTTACTGTGATGGCATGATACTTTAGCTGTATCAAACTAGCCATGCATTTCCTGTGCAGAGCAAGGCTTTCAGTTCCTGGACTGCACACTGCTCCGCTGATCTGTATCTCTGTCCATACACCAGTACCACACCTTCTCAATTATACTATAGCTGTCTTAATTATCCTATAGCATCTTGAAATCAAGTAGTGTGAGTCCTAGAGCTCTCAAAATCATTGTGATTTCTTTAGGTCTTCTTCAGTTCCCTTAAACTTTAGAATCTGCTTGTCCATGTCCATCGAGAAAGCCATCCCATCCCTTGCCTTTTCCTGTGATGAATAGTTGCAGTATGTTTATGAATATCAGTCCTTAGCAGTCCTGGGATTCTCGATCATTGTTGTGTTCCTTGGTTTTACAAAGTATATTTAATTTGGCCTTTTATATCTATATTTGCAAGTAAGATATTTGCTTTTATTTTCCTTTCTGATATGTTTTTAATGATATATTTAGCAACTTGTGTATTCAGTGTTATGATAACTTTATAAAATGGGATTGTGAAAGAATCACTATTTTCTGTTTCCCTGAAAGTTATGTGTGTAGTAAGACAATTCCGTTTTCCCTAAGGAATTTGCCAAACTATTTAAGACCAATCCATCATTTTTAAAGGAGTAATTATATTTTATTATTTTCTGTGTTTATGGTCTGTTCAACTTTTCTTTTGTTTTTCTTTGAATGAATTTCTGTTTTCTTAGGAAATCATCTTTATTTTTCATTTTTCTCAAATCTAGCATTAGAGGACTGGATACAGTGTTCTTTTAAAGCTATTAAAATCTTTCAGATTATTTAGAAGAGCTTTTAAAAAATTTTAAATGGCTAGCATTTCATTTTTATTACGTCCAGTAAAGTAACCTACCCCAGCCCTAAGTTTATTGAGGCTTTTTCTTTTCCTTTTATTTGGGATAATATATTTAAGATTCCATTTTTGTAACCAACTTGTGGATACATGACAGAGTAACTTTCGTGTATTTATTAAAGTGTTCAGATCTCCTGTGTCCTTAATTTATTTTCAGCTTTTTATTTTTTTTGTAATTTATTTTCAGGGCAAGTTTATTAGGATCAACTTCGATGTAACTGGCTATATCGTTGGGGCCAACATTGAAACATGTATCCTTTTTCATAATTGCATTATTCAAAATAGAGAATGATTTAATCTTCCTGCGGCCTTGTGGCCATCCTCTGTGATGCCTCTTCCATTTGCCAGATGATAAAACTTAAGCCCAGAGAAATTGTGACTTGTTTAGATACCTTTAACTATTGAATATGAACTCCAAAGTGATATTTTGTTGTTGTTTGTTTTTGACACTGGGTCATGATCTGGTCACATGGCTGGGGAAGTGGAGGGTCCCACTAAGGTGAGAACACCTGTACATCTGTACAGGCATTTGTACAGGCAAATGGATCCAGGAAGTGTTTGTGTGCTCTTAGCACATTTAGATGAATGCCTTATGTTAAAACATCTTCAGTTACTGCTGTGTTAGCCCATTTTTTTCCCCATCTACTTTTGATATTTGTAGAGTGACCATGTCCCATTAAAACAAACCTTATAATCTACAGAGTTGAAGCAGTTTATGTTAAGCAGAATAAAGTCAGAGGGGAAAAAAAAGTCAAACACATGGACTGGTCCTAAGAAATGTCACAAGCCTTATAGCCTTAAGGAATGATGGATCTATAGAGAGAATTAATTTGATTAAAAAGAATAAATTAGAAATGATTCTGAATGATAATGTCCCAATTAGAAAATAAACAGGTGACAATTCTCTATACTTGTTAATACTCTTTGTGATAGATATTGTTTCTGTCCCTCGGGTCAGGGATGGATCAGATTTTTCCTGTTAATTCAGAACTATATTTTATGTCTCTAAATATGCTCAGAGCCAGAAAACAAAACAAACACTTGAACATGACAGGCAAATGGATCCAGAGCAGGGGTCCCCAACCTCTGAGATCTAACGCCTGATGATCTGAGGTGGAACTAATGTAATAATAATAGAAATAAAGTGCACAATAAATGTAATGCGCTTGAATCATCCCCAAACCATCCCCACTCTGGTCCATGGAAAAATCATTTTCCACAAAACCAATCCCTGGTGCCAAAAGGGTTGGTGACCGCTGTGCTAGAGTCTCTTCATATTGAAGAACATCCTTCTTGTGCATGCACTCTTCACCGAATGTGGAGGGTGTGTTTGGGATCGTCCGATTTTTAGTTACAATTAGGCTGTTTGCACATACACAGTTTGCTTTGGTGGCCCCAGGAAGATTTAATTCAGAGAAGGTAATTCTCTCCCAAAGCAGTGAAACTGAGACTCTTGGGAGTCCAGTGTGAGTGTCAACGCAGAGATATTCCAGGAGCATCCAGACTCGGTGGACAGAGAAACCAAACAGGCCCCAGATCCGCGCCCCAAATACCCACACGGGGGTGCGGTGTTCTGAGACACAGGTACTAACTGACTGGGGTGGTACCAGAGTTACACACATTTTGGAGTCCAGCAAAGTTTTGGTTTCTGACTGTGCTGTTTGAGTAATTTCTTTGTGCCCTGGTTTCCTTCTTTGTGAAATTGCAGTAAGTCTGCTGTTTCAAGGCTTTTCTGCCTCAGACAACGTGGCTTCCCTTTTTTAATAGCATCTCACGGCTCCTTGTGTAGAGCTGTGTTCTTTGAACATAACCCAAGTCAGGGTAGTGTGGGTGGAGGAGGGGTGAGGGAAGTGCTCTAATCCTCAAGCTCTCTGCAAGTTCAGAGGCTCTAGAAGATTAGTGAGAAACAGAAATTGCATGTCTTTTCTTTTTCCACATACAAAATCCAGTCATTTAGAGTGATTCATTGCAGACTAGTTACTAAAGAAAGAAAAATCTTACAAATTAAGTGTGTACAGACACTGAGAGGAGACCACCTTTTCATTGTCACCCTTAACCACCTTAACCACCTTTGCTCAGACCTTCTGGAAAAATCTCGTGCTGTTCGTCAAGCAAAAGATGAACGTACTTTTCATATCTTTTACCAGTTGTTATCTGGAGCAGGAGAACATCTGAAGTGTAAGTTACAGATTTTTTTTTTTACTGTTTTATGTTCAGTTGAATATCATTTATAAGACTTTTTTTTGGAGAAAGAAAACAGTTATAGAATTATGCACACATACACACACACACACACACACACACACCAGAATTCTAGCTGGCTAAATTATGAAAGTGAAATTGAACTTCAAGCCATGGGATAGGTACTTTAAGTGGCAGGCATATGGGTGGTGTTATATTATCTTTTGTACTTTTCTTTTAAAATAATTTTAAATTTGAAGGTATATGATGTGTTTTATACAAATTTTGTTTCAAAATTTGTTAATATAAAAGTAATAAAAAATAAATTTATTTAATAAAGTTAAATTGAATACATGTGTGTGTTCCTAGATTTTCAAATGAATGTATGTTATGCTTCCAGTAGTTCTAGAAAGAGTCTGTGTGTATTTTTATTTATTTTGTGAATCACAAAGACCAGAAATTTAGGGTTGGACACAGTAAAAAGTAAGTTCTTTCCTGGGTCAGAATTTTGTTGGGTCAGAAGAAGATGCACAACTTTTTGGTTTCTTCTGAGTCTCAGAGTAAATGCTGCTTCTCTAGAACTACTATGTATGTTATTTAAATATCACAATAGACGTGTAAAACCCTACAATCCTTTTCTCACTTGAGATCTAGGCTTTTACTAACCATGGATCATCTGTGGAAGCATTAAACCCAGCAATTAGTTAAAGACCTGCAAGGGAAAAAAAAAAAATCAGCAAATAGAGTAATTGCCATTGAGAGACTAAAATTTCAAGGTTATGCAGTAGGTAATGCTGCAGGGAAGAAAACCCTCATTTTCAGCCTGGCAGACTGAAAGCAGTAATGAATCAAGAAAATAACTTAAAAGAAGGAATTTTTTTTTTTTTTTTAAAGCAGTCAATACCCAGTGACCTCCATGTGATGTTGATAAGAATTGCGGGATTGGTGTGATCAGGAGAAGTTCTCTGCAGGAGAGCCAGTGACACAGAAAGCCAGAAGCATAGATAACATCTACTGTTGGAAAAACCATCTGTTTTACTATTTTGCACGCTCCTTCTTTTCTTAAGAGCACATTTGTTGAAAAGGAGCTTGTTCTCGCTTATTCATGTCCCCTGAAGTAAGAGAGTCAGTGGGCACGTCTCTTATAATACCCTGTCAGACTAGTGCTACATCGGACATCACTCTCAAAGGCAAATGGACCATTAAGCAGACTGGCTTGGAGAAAGGGTTCCAGGGTGCTGGCTGGGCTCAGGACTTGGCGGGCCCATGTTCTACACCAGGAACATAGAATATGGGTTTTAAGGCTCCTCCTCAAAAGATGTCTAAAGTATTTAAATCTGAAAACAATAAAGTTTAGTTATCTGGAAAATTGATATCATTTCCCAGCAATCTGATTTCAAATATAATATTGTACAAACCACTGTCGCAAAAGTCCCTGTTGAGATTTGTTGTTTACATCATCATTTTCTTTCATTGTACAGATCATGGAAGACTGTCTGTGTATTTAACGTCAGAATGTAAAGGAAGCAAAAGTCTGGTGGTGGTGGATTAGATGTTTTTCTGTCCTATGGGTCCAGTTTGAAGATGGGGCTGTGCTTCAATCTGTTGATGACTATTTATTACATTGTATTCCATTATGTTTTTTTTTTTTAGCTGATTTGCTCCTTGAAGGATTTAATAACTACAGATTTCTCTCTAATGGCTATATTCCTATTCCGGGACAACAAGACAAAGATAACTTCCAGGAGACGATGGAGGCAATGCATATAATGGGCTTCTCCCATGAAGAGATTCTGTGTATGTACGATTTCTCTAATAAGATTCTGATGCTCAGTTTTACCAAGACTTATAAACTAGGGTTAAATAACCTAAACTAGAAAATGATTGTGAAATTAATGGGACCTGCCTCTTAATTCTGAAAAGTTCTGTGTAGCTAATTTTTAGCACAAAATACATTAGAATATGTCCTTTATGTTTTGATATCATATTTTAATTTTTTTTCTTTTTATATCAACATACAGCAATGCTTAAAGTGGTATCTTCAGTGCTTCAGTTTGGAAATATTTCTTTCAAAAAGGAGCGAAACACTGATCAAGCCTCCATGCCGGAAAATACAGGTAGGCTGATGAACAGATTTTATTTCTGTTTCTGTGGCCTGTTGTGTTCTCCAACAATGTGTTACAACATGAGCGTAACAGCATCCTGAGGTGTCTCCCATGAGGCTCCACGTGCCTACGTAAGGGTCAGTCTGATTCCAGAAAGGAGGTCGGAGGATAGAGTGCCAGCTGAGGAGCGGGTGTGGGGACCCTGCCTTAGTGATGGGGGTTGGGACTGGGGGGTGGGCTGAAGAGACCACATGGCTCATCCCGAAGGGAGCGACAGCTGTTGGCTTCCAGCCAGTTTTCTCCTTGCCAGAATGCAGGTCCAGGGCCGCCAATCAGAACTGATTTTTCAGAGAAAGGTGGAAACCTAGATTTTAATATGAAATTTTCAAACTTTTAAATATTGAAAATGGATTGAAATTCACAACAGTCAAAAACAAAAATTTTTGAACCATAAAATGTGTTTGCAAGCCTTGTGAGGTCTGCTTGTGACAGTCTGGAGACACAAAGGAAGCTGAGGCATCTGTGTGTTGACTCAGTGCTTGGTCACCAGAATGTTCCTCTGCCTCCCAGGCGATCCTTTTCCTTTCCTGATTCGTTTATCGAACAACTGTTTTTTAAAAGCCAAAGTGGCTCCAGTGTCATTGCCTCATGGCTGTTCATTACATCCCCAGTAATAGAAGTAAAATTAACTGCTTTTTATTGAATAAGAAGCTTTAAAAAATTACAACTCTATAAATTTTCTTGAATTATTACCTATATTAGGTAGTAGTGGTGGTTAATTAACACTTGCATTGTTGCAGTGTGCCGGAGTTTGTCCTTTCTTTTTTTCCATTTATTTTTATTAGTTGGAGAGTTTGTCCTTTTTAACTACAGCACAATTTAAACATGTGAGAGGGGAGGGCAGGGTGGAAGGACCTCCAACCACCTTCTTGTCTCCTGGCGTAGACGACCACCAACTCATGGCCTGTGTTTCATTTATACCACTTCCCCTTTCCTAGATTATTTCAAAGCAAACCCCAGATACTTCATCTGTAAACATTTCAGTTTGATGCTCAACTCAGGATCAGAAAATGAGGTCTTGAAATGGATATATACACCTAGACTTCTGTTTGTATTGATATTTCTGCACTAGAGTTTTTCAGGTTATCAGTATTTTTAAAATTTTTAATTCTGGTAAAATTACACATAACAAAATCTGTCATTTTAGCCCTTTTTTAAACGTATAGTTCAGTAATATATATTCACATTATCATGCAGTCACTCTCTAGACTTCACCTTGCAAACTTAAACTCTAAAACAAGTCCCCATATCCCCCTACCCCAGCAACCACCATTCTACTTTGTCTCTATGAATAGGACGAGTCTGGGTACCTCGTATAAGTAGAATCATTCAGTGTTTGTCTTTTGTGACCGGCTTATTTCATCAGGTTAATATATTATTATGTTAATTTCCCATGGCATTTTTACATGTTGGTATCAAAATGGCGTTTTTCAGAAAAGTCTTATTCTCTGCTATCATTAATAAGACTAAAACTAAAATTACCTTCATTAGCACATCACTCCAGACCATTTTTCCTCATCCTCTCCACCCCGCACCCACCCCCTCACCCCCGATGAATAAGGTAAATACAGCAAATAGCTGTTAGCCTGTAGTGCCAGAAGCACCACAGATTTGAAAGAGAAAAGTACATCTAGTCACAGTAATTTATCACAAACGTAATAAAGAACCAAAAGGAAGAGCACATTTCAGTTATTGGGCTTTGGATATAAAGAGTTTGAAACTAGATTAAAATCTGGAAAAACAGTCACAAACAGAGCAGGTGAGAACTGGGAAACTAGGGTCATTATTGCCGCTGTGAAAACCAAGAAAAGTCTGCCAGGTCTAACCACTGATCTGTGGGATGGCGGGCGCCAGAGGCGCGTGTCCAGAGACCACAGGACACCCAGACATCTGCCTGCTCCCCACTGGAGTTTTCTCAGCGACATTGGCAGATTGTTACTTTTTAGATTGAAAATGACTATAAAGAAAAACGAAAGTGGCAAATAACAGAGTAATAAGGCTTAGAAGTAGAAAATGTAATAAGGGAACTTGTTTACCCTGTGGAGGAGAGTAAGCCAATAGAGCCACTCTATAAAGTGTGTTTTTTAGCTGCTAAAATGATGTTTATCATCATAAAAAAGAACGTGAGCAATTTGCTTTTTCTACTTCTGTGTGTTTTTCAGCTTCCCACCCAACATGTACACACATGCATACGTATGTACATTAACTGAAAGGAGCCAGGATGTAGAGGATGAGGAGGGCAGTTGGTGAGAAGACTCATAAACCAAAGGAAGTGTTCCCTGAGGCACAGCCTCCCTGCCCACTCAGGGGTGCTGCTGGATGGCCAGCAGTTCACTTGGGTCAGGGGGGTAGGATGCAGTGCATCTTTGAGAATGAACTTGGTTATGCCTCTACATGACTCAAAATGTGTTTATCCTTAGAGAATTTTATTGTTATTTATTTATTAGTAATTAGAACACTTATTGGACCTTAGTGACATTAGGCAGTGAACTTCTGATGAGGAAAGTGCCCTAAATTTGGTAAGAATCAACAATAACAAAATTAGCAGCTTTTTAATGTGAGCCATGTAATCAAATAATTGATTTTTAAAGTCCCTTAGGTTTCTTGCCTACTAAAGTACTAGGATCACTCTGTAGGTATGACAAATTATCTTGGTAACATGATTTAAACTATTTTGAACACCATTTTTCTCATTCTCTGCATTATCCATGAGTTCTAAGACTTAGTAACTTCTATTAAGCTATCCAGAGTAAGTAATTGCTGACTAATCATCTCTTATGGCCTAAGGAGTCTTGTTAATATGAAAGGATGAAGGTAGTTTTTATGAGACCTAACACCTGTCTAACCTTAAGACTTATATTTAATTTCTTAATACAATTAGGTGATTACTAAGGGGTTTCAAGTGTTTATTGAATGTGCTGTGACTAGATTGGTAAGGAGAAGCCTGGTATTTAGGAGGCCTTTTACCCTCTAGTTGCACAGAAGCTCTGCCATCTTCTTGGCATGAATGTGATGGAGTTCACTCGGGCCATTCTCACCCCCCGGATCAAGGTTGGCCGAGACTACGTGCAGAAAGCCCAGACCAAAGAACAAGTAAGTTTAACAGTTACCACACAGTTGCTTGAGTGATTGATAACCATGGTCATGACACCTTCTGATTGGCACATAGCAAGCTGAACCAATAAAAGCTCCATCATCCAGATGTTTCTTGGTACTAGTTGACTGTTTTCTCGCAGAAACTTTTTAGAGGTGACTTATAAAAAAGGAGGTTTGAAATATAAACTTAAATTTTCCCCAGGTAGATGGACTATCCAGGAGGAAAAAGCTGTGTACCCCGGCATCCCACCCAGCAGAGGGGTGCCCTGATTGACCCCTTGTCCCTGTAAGGGAGGAGGGCACAGCAGCAGGAACGTAGGAGTTAGAATCACCTGTTTCGTGGTGGACTCTGGGCCGATAATGCTGCACAGAGGCCCAGGGGCAGGGGGAGGAAGGCATTTTTACTGGGCATTTTCATCCATCTCCTACTTGATTATCTCCAGTCTGTATCTAATTGTACTAATACCTTCTGTTGTGTAAAATTGAGACATGATTAAGCAGTAAGTGCTCTTTTAGGGTTTGGAGGGTACTGTAGATCATTAAATTCCCTCCATCTAACAGCTTTTAGTGTTGTCCTGAGATTATTTTCAGACTAAAAGGTTGCTGTTGTCTAATTACAGGCAGATTTTGCAGTAGAAGCTTTGGCAAAAGCTACCTATGAGCGGCTCTTCCGCTGGCTCGTTCACCGCATCAATAAAGCTCTGGACAGGACTAAACGGCAAGGGGCCTCCTTCATTGGGATCCTTGACATCGCTGGATTTGAGATTTTTGAGGTATGTCACTCTCCCTCCTGCTCTTCTTGCTTCTGTTTATTCTTTCATCAAATAATCTCCTAGGCTCACAGTGTACCAACTGCAGTGCCAGGCACCAGGGATATGATGGCAGATAAGCAGGTACAGTCCCTGCCATTCTAGTAGAGGGTCAAACGTTAAGTGACAGGAAAACCACCAAATCCTCGGGATTTTGAATAATGAAGTGAGAAAGGGGCTGTGATGGAAGGAACTGGGGAGACCCACAGTGCACAGGGTGTCCGCAGCTGTGAGAGCTTAGCATGAGAAGCCCCAGCCTCGGGAAGAATCCCCGGCAAAATGAGGTAGGTCTAGTGGTCCTGCATGGGAGAGAATTTGTTAGATGTTAGAAACTGCCAAGAGCCAGGGTGACTAGACGTAGCTGACCAGAGAGGCAGAGGAGCCGGAAACACAGAGTGTGAGATGGAAAAGCAGACATGGGGAGAGTGTGGAGGGTGGTGTTGTCATAGCTCCGGGGCCAGATGATGGTGGTTTGGGCGGGGGTTGGGAGCAGCCCGAGATGTGAGATGGAGAAATGAAGAAACGTGATGGTCTCTGTTCTGGAGACACACCCACAGCTTTTGTTGATGGGTTTCAATATATTTCATTATTAATCTGACTAGATTTCTCCAAACAGCATCAATCCATCAAAGGTTTGTAGTCACATACCTGCTGTGGTTTTGCTAAAACCTTGATAAAATTTTGGTATCCTAAAAATGTAAAACTTTATCTCTCTTTTGATAGACCAATTATATAGTAAGGCATAAATACTTCTTGGGATCAGTGTAATACTTTGGCCAATTGGATATTGACTTGTCTTGTTTTGAAATGAACTCTTTTGGATTATGTCTATCCTCATAAAATCGGAACTGTTATGGTGTAGTAGTTTTATCCAACAAACTGCCACTGCCACTATAAGAGATAGCTTTAATATGTATTGATTTGTGAATAACTGAAAACTCATGAAAGGTGACTGCATGCAAATTGCATGTCTGTTGCTTTCCTATATGTAAACCATCAGCAGATCATGGAAGAAAAAGACCTCCACTTCCAACTGCAAAAAAACAGATGAAATACCTAAGAATGAATTTGAGAAAAAATGGACAAGATTTAGTTGAAGACAACTTTACAGTGCTACTGTAAAAAAACAAAAGACTTAAAGAAATGTAAAAACGTGCCTTGTCCTTGGGTGAGAAAATTCAGCATTATAAGGGTGTAAATCTTCCCCAAATTTATCCTGAAATAGAACATACTTGTTTAAAAACTATTCATAGGAATTTTAAGGGGTAGAGGAAGACTAGGTGACCTGCTTCTAAAACTTAATTTGAAAAATAAATTAATAAAGCATAGATAGTAAAATTCTGAAAAAGAAATGAAAAGATACTAAGAGATAAAACATAAAGCTGTAGAACCTCAGAAGTGTGATTTTGACATGAATATACACAGTAGAAAAATGTTTTAGACACTAAAAATGTAGAATTATTTAGCGAGCATTATTTATCATGGGAAAAGAATGGGAAAAGCCTAAATGTCCACCATTAGGAGATTTATGTTCACTATAGGTTGGATTTGATTAATTATGACATATATCCATGTAGTAGAGAATTGTGCACCCATTGTAAATAATGGGGTGGCTTTATAGTACAGACCCCGAGATACTTTGTTAAGCTTAAAAAGTCTAGGTAGCACACACATTTATGAGTGCGCAGACTTTCTGGAAAGATTGCAAGAAATAGGTGACGGTGGTTGATTAGAGTGATCAAGCGGATGATCAGAGTGAGACTTCTCAGTGCAACTCTGTACATTTCGAATTTTATACCAGGCATTAACCAATTTAAAAACAAATAATTTAAAAATATTTTTAGCAGCTTAAATATGAAAGGCAAGTAGACCTTTATTTAACAAAAATACCATCATACATGGTAGCCCAGGCTGAGTAGAGCGCTAAGTCTTGTAATCTTTAAGACAGAAAAAAATCCATTCACATAAACATCACCACCATCAGGCAGTCTGCAAATGCTGATGCGGTTCACCAGAAATACAGCACTGAACAAGGCAGACACTCCCCCACCCTCCTAGCATGACCTCATTCTAAAACACTTGAGTGCAGCACCTCCCAGGGAAGATTGGAATGGCTTTTTCAGACCCTAAGTCTATTCCTTGGGGATTGATTAAACCTTCTGTAATTGAAGATCACTTTATATAATGAAAGAGGTTATTTATGGCCCCATGGTACTTGTGTGGACAGCACAGAGGCAGAAAAAAAAGGCTGAGTACTTCTTACAGAACACAATTTCTTTAAGAAAATTACCCGTTACTTCATCCTTTCATGTTTCATTCCATCAACAACACTGTGGAGAAATGGGCAGAGTTCACACAGGGGGAAAACAAAATGTCTGTAACAGATGAAAAGCTTGGGTTTTTTTGTTTTTTTTCCTAACTCATTCTGGAGCCAATGGCCTAAGTAAGGAGCAGAGGGAACAGGACAGCAGCCCATCTTTTCTCCAGACCCGTAGAGCGCTCAGAGATGCGCTTGCCTCCTCGGCCTCTGACCTTCCCAGGTCTTTTTTCATTTTTCTCACTTTCTCATTTATTCCTTTCTCTTCATTAACCATTCACTAGTAAAAATGGTTTTATTTGTAGATAATCAGTTACAGTAACTGACATACTCCTTTCCCTATTTGGAACCAGTCTGTAGGGAAAGGAGTATGTCAGCTACTGTAACAATAGACTGGTTCCAAAGAGGGAAAGGAGTATATCACCCTGCTTATTTAACTTATATGCAGAGTACATCATGAAAAATGCTGGGCTGGATGAAGCACAAGCTGGAATCAAGATTGCTAGAAGAAATATCAATAATCAATAACCTCAGATATGCAGATGACACCACCCTTATGCTAGAAAGTGAAGAACTAAAGAGCCTCATGATGAAAGTGAAAGAGGGGGGTGAAAAAGTTGGCTTAAAGCTCTACATTCAGAAAACTAAAATCACGGCATCTGGTCCCATCACTTCATGGCAAATAGATAGGGAAACAGTGACAGACTTTACTTTTGGGGGCTCCAAAACCACTGCAGATGGTGACTGCAGCCATGAAATTAAAAGACGCTTGCTCCTTGGAAGTAAAGCTATGACCAACCTAGACAGCATATTAAAAAGCCAAGACATTACTTTGCCAACAAAGGTCCGTCTAGTCAAAGCTATGGTTTTTCAAGTAGTCATGTATGGATGTGAGAGTTTGACCATAAAGAAAGCTGAGAGCTGAAGAATTGATGCTTTTGAACTGTGGTATTGGAGAAGACTCTTCAGAGTTCTTGGACAGCAAGGAGATCCAACCAGTCCATCCTAAAGGAGATCAGTCCTGAATATTCATTGGAAGGACTGATGCTGAAGCTCCAATACTTTGGCCACCTGATACAAAGAACTGACTCATTTGAAAAGACCCTGATACTAGGAAAGATTGAAGGCAGGAGGAGAAGGGGACGAAAGGATGAGATGGTTGGATGGCATCACCGACTCCATGGACATGAGTTTGAATAAACTCCGGGAGTTGGTGATGGACAGGGATACCTGGCCTGCTGCAGTTCATGGGGTCGCAGAGTCGGACACGACTGGGTGACTGAACTGAACTGAGTTACAATAGCATACTGAGTTTATCATGTTCTCATTCTAGCTTCTCAGTAACATGATGTGGGGGTGGAGGGTGGGGCTTGTATGTAGATTAAGAGAGATCCTCATCAGTCTATGGTAGTTGAGTCTTGGTTAATAACTCCTCAAGAACGTTCTGAGAACAAGCTGACTGGTCCTTTCTTCCTCCCACTCCCCTCTTTGTCCCCCGCCCCGCTCCCACAGCTGAACTCGTTCGAGCAACTGTGCATCAACTACACCAACGAGAAGCTGCAGCAGCTCTTCAACCACACCATGTTCATCCTGGAGCAGGAGGAGTACCAGCGTGAGGGCATCGAGTGGAACTTCATCGACTTTGGCCTCGACCTGCAGCCCTGCATTGACCTCATCGAGAGACCCGTAAGACACTCTCCTGCCAGCCGGCTCTCCACCCAGGCTCAGGCGGTGCCTTGAGCTTTTCTTCCCATAAACTGAGACGGAAATGTTCCTGTCTCATCAGCGTGAAGATAATTTTCTGATCTAAATTTACTAGGATGCTTTGATGAAATACCCATTTAAAAAGTGAAGAGCCTGCAAGTAAGACCCTTCTCGAGCTGTCTTTTCTCTCAGTCGTGTCCTGTCCTCTCATGGGTGTGGGGACACCAGGCACGTGTCCAAGATGATAAAGGGGTACTGTGTCTAGCTATGAATTAGGTGGGTCATGCAGATCCATTTTGGGGGATCACTGAAGCTTATCCTCATAAGTACAAAGGTACTTTTTTACAATGTTTGTAAGAGTTTATAATCATAAAACATTTAACAATAGCATGTATAATGATACGGGATTTGAGGAGCCTTTCAGAATGTAGACTGAGGGCAGTATTTTCCGGAAAGAAAATATCAAAAAATGACTCTGCGGGGGCACCTGCCAGTCATCTGTCCTGATCTCTCATAACCCAGCCTCTGGCCAGCTTCTGAAACTCTGACCAGGAGACGAAACATCGTCTCTCAAACAACTCTTTAGAAATCCTCAATTAAAAGGAAAAGTGATAACAGAGATCTTGACACTAAAGGATGAAATCGGAAAAATAAAAAGGAGACAAAATTATGGATCTTCTGAGCCATGCTGTCATGGAGTCCTTTAGAAAAGATTAAATTATATTTGGGCTCCTCTTTCAGAATTTAGAAATATTTTCATTGAAAGATTAAAAATGTAAAAATTATGGCAGAAAGATGTGTGTTTCACTTACCTTAGTTCAGAACTTCATTTCTCAAGGTTGTCGTGAGTGGGTAAAATCTGGTTAAATGCATCTCTGGCCCATCTCTTATGTAGGATCACTGCTAAATCTGCTTGCCTTTGATTATAGTGTTCTTTCAGCATCTCTGAACCCTGCAAATTCTTTTAGATAGAGGAGCCAGGAACTAGACAGCCGGGGAGTGAGGGTCTTAGTCCTGGGCTTTCAGCTGCTTCTACCTGCTCCTGTTCTGTTAACCTCAGCCTTTCTCTGACCGTGTTATGACATTTCAATCATGTTTAACTAGGACCTCCAGTTACTTTTTTTTTTAATGTTTATTTATTTGGCTGTTTCAGGTCTTAGTTGCCGCACACGGGATCTTTGTTGCGTCATGCCAGATCTTTCCTTATGGCGCACAGATTCTCTAGTTGTAACACACAGGCTCCAGAGCACACAGGCTTCAGTAGTTGTGGCTTAGATACTGCACAGCATGTGAGATCTTAGTTCCCTGACCAGGGATCAAACCCATGTCCTCTGCATTGCAAGGAGTATACATAACCACTGGACCACTAGAGAAGTCCTTCCAGTTACTTTTTAATCACTATTTGTACAGAGCCAGCTCTTCTCTTCTAAATACAAAGGGCCTGTGAGTTGAGGAAAACTGGTAGGGATTTATCCCAAATATTGATTTCATCGTGGTACCCTCGAATTGGTCTGTTCAGTCTTGGATCAGAAACTTGTCATATTTGCAGTATGGCAGTAAACCATGACCCCGAACCTCTGTAGAATAGGCCATCACTGTTGTAATATTTCGTTTAGATTTCAGGTATACGCCCACTTTCTTCCCAAAAAAGGAAGTCCTTCCATTGGTTTTTGACCTTCCAGAATAGCACGCTCCAGACACTTTTTTATTTGAGACAGAGTTCACTACCTTAAAATTCTTTCTGAAGTACAAAATTCAATGAGCTTCGGCATAGAGTTGTACAACCATTACCACTGTCTAATCCCACAACATTTTCATCATCCCAGAAAGAAACTTTGTACCTATGGCAGTCACTCCCGTTCCCTTTCCTTAGCACCTTAGTCTACTTTCTGTCTTTGTGTCTCTCAGGCTTTTTTCAGTGAGTCAGTTGAGTGAAATAAAACAGGCTCTCAACACAAACCTGAAAAGTAATTGATAAATTATATCATCACCTTCCATATATTCTACTTAACTATAGTTTTAAATATTTCACCAAGTGTGAAATGCTCATTTAATCATCACTTAAACAGAAATCTTAAATTGACTCGGATAGGGTATAAAATGTCTGAAGCATTCCCGGTTGTGGAGGGTTTATTGAATATAAAGACTGTTTTGTCTCTACACCTTCTGTTTCCTTTCTGGTGTCTCATTTGCTACTTTTCGGGAGTTATCTACTTGGAATTTTTTGTTTGTTTGTTTTAATAAGTTTACGAAATATAGTATTCATCTGTTTTCTTACCAGTACTTAGCCATTTGAGATCTCAGCATTTGCGTTACAGTTATAGTTTGGCAATACCTGCTATCCTAGAAGTTTGCTTTTCATAGATATTCATGAAGCTCTAATTGTTTTGGAAGTTAAACTGCCAAATCCAGTGGAAAACATCCTTAAATGTGATGTGCAAAATGTGTCAATTCTTCTTGCTTCTGTTACCAGGCTAACCCTCCTGGCGTGCTGGCCCTTCTGGATGAAGAGTGCTGGTTCCCTAAAGCCACAGATAAGACCTTTGTTGAAAAGCTCGTTCAAGAGCAAGGGTCCCACTCCAAGTTTCAGAAACCACGTCAGTTGAAAGACAAAGCTGATTTTTGCATTATCCATTATGCAGGGAAGGTAAGAGTGAAAGAGTTCCATTAAAAGTACCATGCTTGAAATTTTGCTGCTTTTGATGAGGATTGTAACAAACGTCCTGGTATACATTTATAAACCCTTAAATACAGTACCTACTACAAATGCATTGCCTTTGAGACCACCCATTGTTTGGACTGTTCTGTGATTTTTTGAGGGGGAGCGGTGGGGGAGAAGGGGTGAGAAAGGTAATTATTGCAAGGCCAAGCAGTTGAGAATGGGCGGTTCATGCTTAAAATCCCCAGACTTCCCCAGTGCTTTGGGAGGAAGGTTTTTAGGGGTGAAGGCTGCAGGGTATGTGACTTCCTTTTGATTGGTTGCTGGGGAGGGAACAGGGCGGTGCTCCAGGCACCTTGTGTTTAGCCTGAAGTTGCCATCTTCTGCCTAGAGGAGGCTCTGTGAATGTTTGGGGTTAAGGCTGAATGTGTTTCTTGCTTCTGTTTTTTCCCCTCTCGCCGCCTTTGGCTCTGGTCCGGCAGGTGGACTACAAGGCAGACGAGTGGCTGATGAAGAACATGGACCCCCTGAATGACAACGTGGCCACCCTCCTGCACCAGTCCTCTGACAGATTCGTGGCGGAGCTCTGGAAGGATGGTAAGGGTGTGCCGTGTTTGTCACCGAGCTTGACTGCCATCTTTTACAGTTAAGGCTTATATACGGTTCTTTTACATAGAGATGTGTGTATATTTTCTTACTTTAAAGCTCTTTAATTTCCCTAGAGCAGGGCTGCCGTTGTGTCGGATTTTACCCACTTTAAGGAAACTTGAGTAACAAGACATTTGCCTTCTTGGTCAGATGCTGTGGGAACATTCTAGTAGCACAGCCATAAGACCTGCACGTTTGCCTCAGGCCGCCCTGGTCCCCACACAGTCATAACCCAGGGGTGCTGGGATGCAGAGCCCTAGAAGCCTCTGCATTCTCAGACCATCTGCATATAGGTCAGTTGTCTTTATTTCCACCAGTCCTCAGGTGACTGTTTCAGTGGCTTTATCATAGACTAGAGGTTGTGCGTATCAGAAGAGCAAAGCACCTGTGTCCATATTTGTAGTGGGACCAGCATTTTCTGAGCTTAGCTGTCTACATGTTTCATCCTGGTTGTTCCCCCCACTTCACTTGGCCTCAGGTCATGAGGACCTTAGCTTCGAGTCTGTCCCTGCCTAGGCCGTGGCCCTGACCCCAGCCAGGCCTGTCAGCTCACTTCTGCTTTCTCTGTAGCATCTCAAGACCTCGTCACCTAGGTGTCTCCACACAGGTAGCGAGAAAGAAACCCAGAAGGCGGATCAGAGGGCTTAGGGCCATCAGGGCAAAGATAAAGAAAGAATGACCACAGAGACAGTGAGCTGGGGGTGATGACCATGTCACAGACAGTCTAGTCAGGTCACTTACATCAGCTCCAGCAAGTGCGGGGATGGGCACAGCACATGTGCTCCAGCACGTGTCCTGGGGAGAGACTGTGCACAGGCAGGGACTGGGGGAAAGGTGAGGTTTCCAGCAGGTGAAACAGGCTTTTCATCACTGTCCCTCTGAGTGGGCATCTGCACCTGGCCGCTGCTGCTCGCTGTCACTGGCAGTAACTTAGTTTGTCAAGGCAGCCTCTGAGGAGAGGATAGGACCCCAAGGTAGCATCCACAGTGCCCATGCAGCAGAGGGACTCCCGCCCCTGTGCTCTGGGAAGTATGAGAGTGGGTCTGAGATATGGGTCTAGAGTGGAAAAGGGGACCCTGAGATCTGGTGGCCACTGGGTCCACAGGGCCAAGAAAACCACACAGGTCAGTGGGAAACATCCCAAGAAGAGGAGGCAAGAGTGACTGACGCTGCTCATCAGGAATGTAGTGTTCAGTCAGGAATGGATTGTTGTTCTGCCCTGGGCAGTGTGGGCCCCCCATACCCAACCCTGCTCCCAGCTTCACTCAGGTCTCAGAGCTAAGTGGGTGAGATGTGTGAATGACTGCTGAGTGTTGGTGACCCCTGAGATGATTGTCACATGCACAGTGGAGGGGGGCTGCCTTGTTCCTGGGGTGCTAAGGTCAGATGTCATGAAGGAGGAGGCAGTCTTCCTTGTCCTTGAAAAATAATAATTTGTTAGAAAAACAAAGCCAATGTCTCCTGAGCATGTGCCAAGGGCGGGGCAGTCTCCCAGCATCACTAGTGAGCATTTACATCCTGATCGGTCCTTAACCACAGAGGGTGACAAAGTTTACCTGAACTCATATCGGGGTGGGTGGCGTTTTTAGAAGTGATGTTTGTGTGGGCAAAGGGGTTGTTGAGCTGGTGGAAGGAATGATCATAGTGAGGAAGTGGAAAATCCCAGCTGAGGGTAAGAAGCCCATTGAGGCTTTAGGGCAGGGCTGGGACCAGAAGGTGGAGCGAATTTTGCAGGAGATGAGAAACCCTCTGGCCAGTATCATGGATTTGCCTTAATGAACTAAATGGCATTAGTAGGCTTGTAGCCAGGGTAGGAACACAGTGTGAACTTGAAGAAGCAAAGTGGGCAGTGGCTTGTCGGATGGATTGGGGTGAAAGACCCCAGCAGGGAGTTCAGGGCAGGGTGACCAAGGACAAAAGCAGTGGGCATGGAAGAAAAACCTAGGAGATAAGGAACAGAGGAAACTAGTGATCTACCGTTAAAGTCTCAAAAATGGGTTTTCTCTCTTCATTGTGAATGAGAAGAGAAGCAGGTGTTTGGGGAGTCGTGGCAGGAGGTCCTGGGCTTGACCAGAAGCAGTGTGGTGGGAATCACCTGCTGAGTCCCTGACCCGTTCACTCGTCCAGCCTCCCTCTCTAAGTTCCAGGATCATCCACAGTCAGGCGGATCCCAGAACCATGAAAGAATTGTTCTGTGCCTGCACAGGGCTTTCCCAGGACACACTCAGAAGCAGGAGCAGGACAGAGGGGCCAGTGCCTTGGCTTCCTCCTTCCCAGCTCCTCCTCAGCCCCCCACCCTCCCCGTCCAGGTATGGAAGGGCCTTTGTCTGCACCAGGTCAGAAGTTTCAGGAATAAGAGATCTGGTGGGGGAGGTAGGAGGGGAGGCTGCAGTTGCCGTGATGACACGATGCGTATCCATGTCACAGGTACAAGGAGAACCCTGTCTGGAGAGCCTTTTCATGCCTGTTTATGCTTTCCCAAATGAGCTATAGAGAGGTTATTCACTTGATGACAAACTCTGAGAGGAAAGGTGTGAATCCTGCAGGGCCCTCCTGTCCTGGCCTGAGCCCTGTCCAGCTGTCCTCAGCTGTTGGCACTACTCTCCCCGGGCCTCACCTTTCTCCACAGGCAACTTGGCAGCACATGTCGCCACTTTGGTCTGAACGGGCCAAGTGGAATCCTACCCTGAGGTGACCTGGCTGTGCCGGTGTCTGCTCCAGAGTCATCTTGCGTGTTTGCTGCTCTTAGTGGGAAGTCCTGCCATCCGTCAGCTCAGGTGTACAGTCACTTGGTATAATCCAAGGGACAGGTTCCCAGAGGTGACCCATCATTGGGTGGGGCGGGGTTGGGGGGGCAAACAGAGCCAGATGCCAGGCTTCCCCGATTTCAAGGACTGCATGTTTGATGTGTGAGGTCAGTGGCAGGCCCAGGAGTTTGAAAAGGGTTGTAGGGTGGAGAATTCATCTTGTTCACTCTAGATGTAGGGATGTCTTAGAAGAAGAGCTTCTGGAAATAAAATGGTCCTGGAAAAAACCTGTAAAAATAGTTGCATATTTTCATAGCCATGTCAGTACAAAAGCAGAAAATGACAAGTTGACTGAATGTTTGAGGATATGTGTGAGTGTAGTTTGCCTGCAAAGATGCAATAGCTTGAGTATAAAATACTCGTGTTAAAATAGACTTTGTGTCAGAGTTTTCTCCAGGCCAGACCAGGAGAATTCAGATTTATTGGTGGCAGCCCTGCCCTAGAGACTCATAGTGCCCAACTTTTTGCTAAAAGATGTCGCGGGATCTCCTAGCAGCTACACGTGATTTCTTACTACTTCTAGGGGCTAACTTACAGGGGGGAAAAGATCTAAAAATTACATTTTCCTATAAATGTGCCTCCTGAGATATTTTCATGAGTAACGGTATGATCAATAAGTATGATCTTAGTTATTATTTGACTGTTACTTTAACATTTTATACAACAGAATTTTGTTTTCCATAATGATAGTTACTATTTGTATTTGAAGTAAATTATATTTCCAAAATCTGAATTGGAAATAAAATTACACAGCAGTGTATTTTTGATAGTAAATGCCACCTTTTTCAGAGTAATCTAACTTACTATAGTTTTGTCCTGATTTGTTAATAATTTGCAAGATAATATTATGAAAGACAATGCACATGGTACCTTATTGCTCTTAAATTTCATCCTGCATTTACATGGGGGTAACCATTTGCCTTTGATACGTTATATAATGCTCACACCTGAAGCTGGGAGTGGTTCAGCTATATTCATTTATCTTGTAAAGAACTTTGTCCAGATGTGCAAATTCTGAAACAGTAATGATTGCATGGGGTCTGCCCTGGACGAGCTACTTCTGTAGCCCGATTGCAAAGTTGACTTGTGATGTCAAATGTCTTTCACACTAACTGAAGTGTTTGTGTATCTGCCCTTCTGTCCTCCTGTTTTTGCTGTTTCTCTGCTTTAGAGATTCAGAATATTCAGAGAGCTTCTTTCTATGACAGTGTTTCTGGTCTTCATGAGCCACCAGGTGAATGGATAAAGCCTGTAGGTCTTCCAGACACAAAGGGTTTCAACCCAGAGGAAGCACTTGCGGGGGGCTGGCAGGGGGGCTGGGAGGGCGGGGGCGGGGGTGGTTTCTGGGTTTCTGTTTTTGTTTTGCTCATAGACCTGCATGAACCTTCATTTCATGCTCAGTTTTATTATCCTTAAAGGCAACTGTTTGAGCGCATAAACAATTCAATCGCTACTGCCTACACATCGCTTCTTATTTTATGCGTAGCCCAAAGCACCGCATAGCAAAAGGTCTGTACCCACCTTTTCCAGTAGTGCCATCTGATACCCAGTCCTCTGAGGGAATTGTTAGGACTTGATCTGCCAAATAATATGTCCCTTGTCTTTGAGTTACCTTTAGATTTTCAACTCTAAGGAACTCCAAGGAGGAATTTTTTTTTTCCTTTTTCAAGTCATTAACATTTTGTGAACAAATAATTGCATAATTATCTCATGTATGTTGGTCTCATCATTATGACTTTTAATTGGAATCGATGTGCATAACTGGCTACTTGGCTTTTTCTTTTGAACTGACCAGGTACTACCTGTCAATACAAGGCTTGATTTATGCACATTGAGTGGAGTGTTAGAACCTGAACCTTGAACCTGAAATTGAGCCTTAGACATTTGGACCTGAAGGTATGAGTCCATACCCCTGTTTAAAATACAGCCCAACCTATAGATCAACTGTACTTTAAAAATAAATGAATAGAGAGAAAGAATACAGCCTAAACATGGCAAAGGCTAAATAAATGAAGATCATGTAACCTTCTACTTGTTTAGTGAAACTGTCAAGTGAAAATTCAGAGATAAAGTCAAATTCCTATTTTAAAATTTCCTTCATGATTTTGGAACATAATGCTGAGATCCAAATCCATCTCAAAA